TCCCCTTGATCTCCTTTTCTTGTCTTATTGCTCTAGCTAGAACTTCAAATACAATATTGAAGAGATATAGAGAGAGTGGACAGTCTTCTCTTGTTCCTAATTTTAGAGGAATCCTATTGAATTTCTCTCCATTAAGTTTGATGTTGGCTGTTGGTTTGCTGTATATTGCTTTTATCATATTTAGAAGAAGATTGCAGATAGATCCATATCTATCACCATGCACAAAACATAAGTCCAAATGGATCAAAGACCTCAACATAAATTCAGTCACATTGAACCTCCTAGAAGAGAAGGTAGGTGGTACCCTTAAACAAATTGATACAGGAGACTGCTTTCTTAACATAACGCCAGTAGCACAAACATTGAGAATGACAATTAACAAATGGGACCTCCTTAAACTGAGAAGCTTCTGTAAGGCAAAGGACACAGTCAGCAAGACAAAACGGCAGCCCACAGAATGGGAAAATATATTCACTAACACCACATCTGACAGAGGGATGATTGCCAAAATATACAATAAACTCAAGAAGCTAGCCACCAAAACACCAAACAATGCAATTAAAAAGTGGAGTGCAGAAATAGAGAATTCTCAACAGAGGAATCTAAAATGGCTGAAAGACACTAGAGAAAGTGCTCAACATCCTTAGCCATCAGGGAAATGCAAATCAAAACCACTCTGAGATACCATCTTACTCCTGTCAGAATGGCTAAAATTAATAACACCAATGACAATCTATACTGTAGAGGATGTGGAGAAAGAGGAACACTCCTCCATTGCTGGTTGGAGTATAAACTTGTACAACCACTTTGGAAATCAGTTTGGAGGTTTCTCAGGAAAATGAGAATCAGCCTACCTCAAGATCCAGCAATTCCTCTCTTGGGCATATACCCAACGAATGCACACTCATACAATAAGGACATCTGTCCAACTATGTTCATAGCAGCATTGTTTGTAATAACCAGAACCTGGAAGCAACCTAGATGCCCCTCAACTAAAGAACGGATATAGAAAATTTCGCACACAATGGAGTATTATTCAGTGGAAAAAAACAATGGAATCTCAAAATTCTCAGGCAAATGGATGGAACTAGAAGAAACCATCCTAGAGGTAACCCAGTCACAAAAAGATAAAGACGGTATGTGCTCACTCATATATGATTTTTAGATACAGAGCAAAGGATTGCCAGTCTACAATAACCATTGCCAGAGGAGCTAAGAAACAAGGAGGACACCAAGGGAAGTTTACATAGTCCCTTGAAGACTGGGAGGGGAACAAGAACCTCTAAGCAAAGTGGGAGTAGGGGGGAGAGGAAACAAGTGGGAAGAGAAGAAGGGGAGAGGGCAGGAGAACAAGAGGCCTGAGAGAGGGGAGGAATTGAGGAGGGCAAGAAAGGAGATGCCTTGATAAAGGGAGACAGTACAGGTATGGAGAGAGGCCTGGCACAGGGGAAATGTTAGGGGACCCACAGGGATGACCCCAACTAAGAATCTAAGCAATGGTGGAGAGGATGCCATGGATGCCCTTCCCCAGTAATGAGATTGATATCTACCTTGGTTACCATTCCTAGAGCCTTCATCCAGTAGTTGTTCCAAGCAGAGTCAGGCTCCCACAGCTAAGCACTGAACCATACTCCTGGAATCCAGTTTCTGAGAGTGAGGAGGGATGAACAAAGTAGCCAAGATGTTGCTACAGAAACCCTCAGAAACAGTTATCCAGAACTAGTGAGAGCATGGAGACCCTAGTCATAAAGCTGGGTAAACAGCATCATATAAATCCAGGCCCTCTGAATGTGTTTGCCAGCTAGGAGGACAAGGCAGTCTATGGGACCTCTAACAGTGGAGCACAAATGGACTTTGGGAGCCCATTCCCTATGGAGGGATACTATTGCAGCCCAGATACAGCAAGGAGGGCCTAGGCCCTCCCCCTAATGATATGATGGACTTTGAAGGTCCCCTGTGGAGGGCCTCACTATCCCTGATGAGGAGTTGGGGGATGGGTTTGGGGATTGGTGGGGAACATGGGAGGATGGGAGGGTGAGGGAATTTGGGGGTGATGGATATGTGAATATGAGAAGTAATTAAAGACAAAATAATATAAGGTCAACAGAACTTTTGCATAATTAACATAAGACAGAAAGAAATTATATGAAATAACAGAATTAGGAGTTTACTGGGAATCTTACATAGACATTTGAGAGATTTGGAATATTATATGAACTAATACTTTAAAAACATGTACTGCATTAACAATTTAGAAAACTTAAAACCAATGAACGAATTTCTACATTCATCCAAAACATAAATGTTAAACCAATAATAAATGGTCAACTTCAACAGTCACATAGACTTTAGGGGGAAAAGCCACCCCTGCCATTTTCTTGAACCAGTATAGTTCCTTATTATATTCCAAAGTCTTATGCTTATACTTATAGATATGTGTAGATCTCACCCTTCAGGAAACAATCTTATTTTTCAACGATCCAGAACATTATAGAGATTCACAACTCCTCAAAATGCAGACAATAAGTGCCTATGATGTGCTCAATCCCACCTGAAATATCTCCAACATAACCACTGTGTGGAAGGATCATGGAAAATCATGGAATAATGATCAGAAAGATAGTAAAAGACCAGAATGCCTGTTGCAAAATAGTGTCATTCAGATACAAGAGGGAAACCACATTCATAAGAATCTCAACAATGTGGTTGTCTAAACAAGACTTACATAATGGTAATGCCAGTTAACATGCCAGTGTGGTGGATGGAGAAGATTCATGGAGCCCAACTCCAAGATCAATGACTAATGACTAATGACAGAGAGAAACCATTCTTCTCACAGAGTGCCCTGGCAGGTTATAGAATGTCATGTAGTCATCCTTAAGTATATGTTCATAGGAGCAATACTACATCAACTCAGCAGGATGAATATGTGAGCTCCCCCTCTCTCTCTCACACACATTTATTTATATGTGTAACAATAACAGTTCCAGAAGAAGATGCCATGAAATTGAGAGAGAGTTGGGGGAGACATGGGAAGCATTGGAGAGGCGGGATAAAGGGGCAAAAATGACTTAAACACATTTCTCATGAAACTCTCAAAAAAGATAAAAATTAAGAAAAATGTATATAAAATTTAAAATTGTAAAACCAATAAAAATGATTCATTCCATAGATGATTGATGTGACTTGAAGAAACAATTTGCAAAAGAAGTACAAACCTCTAAAAATATACAAAAAATAATTTTGACATCCTTAGACACAGGAAAATGCAGCCCCCAAACTACAGAGGTCCTTCTCTCCATAGACAGAGTGGCTAATGTAAAGAAAGCAGAATACAATGCTGGTGAGGTTGTGAGGAGACACTCCCTGTGAGAGTGTATGTAAACACCAGAATGAGCAGAATAACAATCATTGATGAACATGACTCAGTAGCCCAGGTTGGCTCAAACTTCTTGAGTCTGACAGTGGGCAGTTGATTTTAGGCATAATTAAACACAGCACAATTTTGGAAAAAAGTTTCCTGATAAAATGAACTCAATCCCACATACAAACAAACAACAAAGCTTAAAACATGGTCACATGAACCTAGGCTCTGCTCCATTTGTAAAGTCCCTGTAACATCTCCCATAAAAAAAAATGGCTTCTATTGAGTGAAAAACATGGCTCAGCTAAGGGCCTATGGAGAATGATGATATAAACATAAGAGTCTGTGGGAGTCAGGAGTGGCCTAGTCCTACAGATAGGACAGAAGTCAGCTAAGCTGCTGTAAAGTACACATGACATCTTCATAAGGATGGTTCTATTGCCTGAGAAACAGTGCTCAAGATAAAGGTCTAGAGAGGAAGAGTTTGGGATAAACACAGTAGTCTGGAGGATTCAGGTGTGAACTGGCCCTACAGACAACACAGACCACCAGAATATTAACCACATCCTTTCCCTGTGTTTTGGGTGGAAAACATGTCCTCCATTGAGGAGACAACCCTGTGTGTTTAACAATCCTGTTTCCCTAAAGCTTATCTGTGAGCACAGAGACCTTATAGACTCTACACTTCATACACTGTGCTCACGTGAGAGTACACCCTAGAACAGCCACTCCACAAGTCAGTATAGAAGCTCTTCAGAAAATGCAAGGTCGAAGACCCATATGATCATCTATCGGGGATATATGAAAGGAATCTGTCGCAGTGCACCAAAACATGTGTCCACATGTATGCTTGTCCTGTATGGGATTCCCAAATGGATGAGTCCATAGCTGATGAATGAATAATCCAAACTGTATCGGAGAATGTTACAGGCATGGAGGTTGTCGACATTCAAAAAATAAACTAGACTGAGACACACATCCTGTCATGTTAGGGTAAAACAAAGAACACTGTGACCTAGGCGATGTTCCATTTGGGAAGATGAAGGGTCTGGCAGGACAGAAGGAGAGAGCAGTATAGATAATGAAGGAGATAATCAAGTCCATGATACACCTGTATGAATGTATGGGAAAGAAGCCTATTGTTTTGTACAATTTACTTAATTTCTATATGTGCCAATTAGAGAATAGTCCGTAAGCCATGAAAGTAGTGAGGTCCATACAAGAAGAGGAAAGGACACAGGAGTGAGGACACAAGAGTTGAGGTGGCAATGGGACTAGGGAATATGGTTAAAATATGGGATATTGTGTATGAAAATGTCATAAGCTTATTATTTTGTTCAAGGAATATATACTAAAAAACAAATTTGGTGGCCCAGTTTAACTGTAAGTTTTTGAAAGATTCCTTTAGCAATAGTCGGTACTAGGACTGTCACTATTGTCAGTAGTGGGGGTGCTGGGGATTGCACACAAGCCTGGTCAGTGTTCCGCAACACAGCTACACCCTGATCCCAAGGTCTCCAGTCCCTTGAACAACCTCTATCAATATCTGAATGTACATTTCCTCTTGAATTTGCTGTCTCTATTTCTGTGTTTAATTCTGAATGTTGAAAACAGGCCTTTGAACACTTTTACTTACCTGGTAACTGGACTCTCTGCATTGAGTCTCTATCTGCCTGCGGTACTGCTGGTATTTATGGCACGTACGTATCTTTACATGTCCTGGTACAGGCTTCCCATAGGTGTATCTGTCACAAGATAAATGCAGAGACACCAAGGGTCTTCCTAAGGCAGAGATAGGCACACTCTTCCCACCATTAGTCCACAGAGTCAACCTGTAACCTTAAATTGACTGTATGGTTTCATAGTAACAGCAAATTTGGAGTACCACTTGATACTGTCTTACTAGATGTGTTAACAATTTAGCTCTGATAAGATCCCCTGGGAGACACAATCTTTTCCCTTTTGTAGCTCTGAAAAGTTTAAGTGACCTGATCAGGATCCTTAGCTAGTAAATGATGGGGCTGCGATAAATGGAAAATGGCAACAAGACTCAGAACTATTCTAACAGACCTCCTCAGTAATTTCGGTCTTTCTATCAATTTTCTTTTGAGCATGTTTATTTTAAAGACAAGAAAATGTGAGTTAAGGCATTTCTCTTCTGTTTCACTCAGGTACCTTTGCAAATTCCTTCTAGCACGGTTTAACTTCCTGTGGTTCCAGACTTAAAGAGCAGTTTCAGGTGCTGTGGCACGGGATCCTTATTATCAGGTACCGAAATTGAAACAGAAATGTGAGATGTTTGAAAGTTAAACTTGGGTGAAGTGGCTGGAACTGGAGCCAGATAAGGAGCTCTTGTTTCTCTGCTCTTTCTGTCAACCCATAATAGGTCAGCACATATTTAGTGCCTGTGCTCTCTACACTTGGGTCAGGAGAGCTTTTTAGGTACCTTCCCGTCTCCAGATGTAGGAACTCTCTACTGCCACATATATTGATTCTGTCATTGGTGTCATCAGAATTAACATCAGTACATATGCAATGAATGATCAAGGATTCATCCATGCAGAGCAGTCAGGGACTGGAAGAGGAAATGAAAGGCATAGGGGGAACACGCCAGGAGGGAAGGGCCCAGCCTTAGCATTTTGGCATAGTCTACAGGGAGACATTATCCTGGCTGTTTTGTGTCCAACAATTTCTTAAGGATAGAAGCTTAAACACAGGAAACTCACACTCCACACACAGTCACGTTCAATTTTTCATCTTTAATGAAAATGGCCTTCGGGACCTTTACTCGAACTTCAAATCTGGGAAGGACTATTGGGAAAGAGAGGAGAAATTCAGGGGAGAAATGACTTTTCTAGTCATCTAAATGATCAGCTTCTGCCAAGAAAGGGTGATTTCATGTTATTAAGGTAACGCCCCACCCCACCCGCCACCCCATAGAGTTAGAATGCTGAGTGGACATAGGTTATATCAGGTTTTGCAAATCACAGAGGCATCCACTTAAATAAGAAAAAGGAAACAATTGGCTTCTGAAAGTCCCAGAACTTTCTGGAAGTCTCGTGGCCTGGGACCCCGGATGCCTGAGTTTTCCGGGGGTCTAACAAATTCATCCTATAATAACCAAAAACTTATGATATCTGCTTTCCCTTTTCAATCTTCCCAAGCCATACCAAATTCTTCCACGGTGAAGTAGTGCTCTTTCTTCACTCCTGATTGTTTTTGTAGCACTATTTTGTAGGAGCCTAGAATGGGCTCAGATGACAGGCTGAAGGACAGTTGCTTGAGCCCGTTCTCTGTGTTAATATCCCGCCACTGCATGATGCGATTTGTTTTCGGGTCCTGTGAAACAGTTTGTAAATTTTCTGAGTAAATGAAATACTAGTTACAGCAATACCTCTAAGACCACTGTGATCATGATGGAAGCATTCGGGAACTTGTTAGCATTAATATTTTGGGGGGGTAGGGAGGAATGAAGGTAAAGAGGGATATAATGAACCAATCATCTGGAATGGTGGAAGGCTGCAACCCATAGCACTGCTACAACATTCCAGCACCCAGTTACTTTCAGCGGACTGATCTCTTTCTGAGTGTGAAACAGTTAAGTTTCTTACCTCAATGTAAGCCAGAGGAAACTGAAACAAAAGGGAAAATGTGTTAGTTTAGAACATCAGTTCTCAACCTATGGGTTATGACCCATTTGGCAAACCTCTGTCACCAAAAATATTTTCATTATGATTTATGACAGTAACAGAATTATGGTTATGAAGTAGCAATGAAAATAATTTTATGGTTGAGGATCACCACAGTGTGAGGAACTGCATTAAAAGGCCACAGCATTAGGAAGGTTGAAAATCTGTAGTTTAGAAATTTCACACTTATTGCAAATACAATGGGTTTATAGAATGGGCCTTCTGGTAGGAGTTTCAGCCAGAATTCAATGAACTTAATATCCAGTAACAAAGTCAATTGCAAACCAATTAACCACCATAGAGAAACTGTAAGTATATGTTCTAGACTATCTGTGTTCTAGAACTATTCTGCGTGACATTATCATTAAGATGTCCTTGTGCTATGAGACCCACCCTGGGCATTTGCAGTATGGAGATCACCTAATTTTTTTGTTCAGATCAGCAATGTTTTTAGTGTGGAATGGTGTTGTTAGTGTTAAATACATCCAATCCAAATGTTTAACTTTGGTTTCCTGTGAAGGCTGCATATGCCCACGCTACACAAGGCGCTGGCTTCCCATTCCTTATCTAAAGAGCTTCAAAGGGATTAGCTCATGCACTCAATATACACCTCCTGAACTTCATTTAACAGATCAACCAGAGCCTAATCATTGCCCTAGAAATACAAAGGACAAAAGGGCTCAGTAGCTGCTCTTCCTTCAAAGGAGTGCTGCTGCTGACTAAGGCATGGCCTGCATGTACAGGGGTTTTTCAGGTGAAGTGTTTCTTTTTGATTCTTGGATATGTGGTCTTCCACTGGAGTTTAGTCAATTTACCTGCATCTATACTCTAAAGAAAACTGACCCCCCCATAGCTATCAGCTAGCAATAGTGCCTCAGCTAAGGGTGGGATTTCATGGACATCTCCCCTCTCCATGCTAAGGTTTGGTGTGGCTTGATCTTGGATGAGCTTGTGGATGTTAATGTAATCATAAAGTTCATGTGTCTGGCTGCCATGCTGAGTCTGGAGGACTGTTTCCTTGCATTCATTTACTACCTCTGGTTTCTATAGTCTCTCCTTCCTCTCTGACACAGTAATCTCTGTTTCTTGGGGGAAGTAGATGTTTTTCAGATGTCTAATTCGGGCGTACACATTCCACAGTCAAGCTGGTGCTGACTGGAGCCATCATTCCCTACTGACTAACTGTCATAGAGCTGGAAGGTGCCATCTACATTACTGGGGGATCATCAATCTCACCCAGCTGTGAACCTATAAACTATGAGAACCTCTGGCCTGGCAAGACATGCCCAATTGTGCAATAGTAACACAAATGTCATGGAAGGAACAAGACACTCTCTGACTGGACTAAAGTCCCACTATGCAAGATGAAACCCACATTTGGCATCATTGTAGGGCCAAGAACCTATGGCTAGACATGACATAGCCCTAGAGGAGAACCCATTATTGTTATGCTGCTAAAGAACATAGCATTAGACCAATTGCTATAGACTGATCTTTATACTTACAGATTATAGAGATTCTCAGTCCTTTTAGAGAAGCTTCTATTTATGGTAGATGGTGATAAACATAGACACCCACAGCTTGCTGAAGTGCCCGGGACAAGAGACTGTGAAATTCTATTTTATGCTTAAGAGAGTCCATTTAGGGAAGGACTTAAATGTTAAATACAAAGTACATGTGAGTAATACCCATGTTGGCCTAGAAATGGATTTCTCAAGGATGGCATGAAATAACAGAAACTACAAAAGAAATGATTGAAAATCATGTTTAAGCGAAAAGGTTCTGTACAGTGAGAGTCTCCATGAAGTATAAAGAAGACACAGAGGCGCTTAACCAGACTCCAATATAAGGAAGACATAGAATGGACAATGGTAACTGAACAGGGGTAAAAAATAGGCAAATGAGTAAAATAGAAAACTAGGTAAATGCATACCTTAGCAAGAGGCTAGAAAAGAGAATATTTCAGTAACACATCTTCATGAACCCTCCAATACCCATGTATAAAAGACTCACCAACTCATTCAGTGGGTGCAGATTTGTATCCATAGCGACAACACGAAATTTAACTGGACAAAGAGAGAGAGATAGAGAATTTCCTAGTGAGTTCCAGAGACCCAGAGCTGCTCTGTGCAATGTTAAGGATGGCTTCTTAATTCCTGTGTCCTGCCCATGATCGCTGCATACCTGGCTGTCCTGGTTTGTACATGGGTTTGTCTGTCTGGACAAAGACAACACTTTCTTGGTTCTTCACCATCACCACATTCGTTTTGCTGAATTCGTGTTTTGGTCCTTTGACATGGACAGAGAGGGACACCTTCTCCTCAGAAGATGAGACTCTGGGGAGCTGAGAATGAGAGGAACACAAGACCCTTCACCATCTGACCCTTTGGAGTTCTGAGATGGCCTTGTTACCTCCTCTCTTTCCATGGCACAGGAAGGATGTTGTGAGATCAATTTCGGTTTATGTATTAGGTATGGAAAGAAAACACAAATTTTCATGAGTCAATGGAAATATCAAACATGCAGTCATTTATCTGTAGTAAACATAATCTTGACTGAAAAAGTAGATCTAACTCTGTAACTGTGGTTGACTGAAAACTACTCTATTAATTGTCGTAGGAATTGTGTTGTGTCTTTTATTTCATGAGGATTGGTCCAGATGAAGCCCAGCAGTTATTCAGGATATCAATTACACAAAGGACATGAAGTCCTGATCAGTTGGAGTGCTTTTTGAAAGCTTATTACTTATGATCCGGAAATATTACAAAGTGGCAAAACTGTTCTTTCTCTGGGTGGTGGGATTTGTGGGACTTCAATGGGAAAGTAGCATGTGCCCAAGTATTGGCTCCTCCCATTTTGGGGTGGGATGATCTATGCTATTTGTTTATTGGGTAAATGTTGTAGGTTTCTATTGTTTTGAAGTAGTAGATGTGTTTTTAGACTAATCTGTTTCAGAAATATGTTAGTATATATGCATATCTATGAAAAGCAAATTAGGACAGGTATCCAGTACTCACAGTGAAGGAGACGCAATGGAACATGTCCTTGTCAACCACAAGATCATTGAAGAGACTTCTGCTTCCCCAGCTAAACTGCAAGGATGCTTTCACAGTCACTGGCTCACTCAGTTGGTATAGATGGAGGCAGATTTTCTCAGGGGTCTCAGTGCGGAGCTGGGAAGGAACCAGCGCCATAAACTTCCTGGCAAGGAAAGAGTTCAGGCCAGCTGAGATCAAATGTCATTGTCCATGCCTGTGGTTTCATCCCAATAATCATTACCAGCCTCATTTCGACAGCTTGAGGTGGCAGGGTGACAGCGTGATACAGCAGAGCGGTCAGACAATAATCAGTGATGATAATAACTCAGCTTCAGTGCTGATATCCATCCAGTCGGGTTTAAATGGCCTGTACTCACTGACCTGAACATCAGGGAATTCTTGCTCCCCAGACTGATAGCTGGGATACCAGCATGGGACTGATCCAGACCCCAGGAACATTGGTTTCATTGAGGAAACCTTGGAAATCTATGGGACCTCCTGTAGTAGTTCAGTACTTATCCCTAGCATAAGTGTGGACTTTGGGAGCCCATTCCACATAGAGGAATACTCCCTGAGCCTAGACACACGGGGGTGGGCCTAGGTCCTATCCCAAAGGATACAATAGACTCTGATGACACCTTATGGAAGGCCTCACCATCTAGGGAAAGCAGAAAGGATATGTGATAGTTAAGATTTTAGTCGGGGGTGGTGGTAGGGGAGGACGGGAGGGACAAGGGAACTAGGATTGACATGTAAAACAATCTTGTTTCTAATTCAAATAAAAAAAATAATAAAAAAAAACAAATGGCCTGTACCCCCTTCACTTAAGCAGCTAGCATTCAAGTTCTAGACAGATTTTACATTTTGGATTTTTTTTGGTGGAGTTAAGACAGGGTTTCTCTGTGGCTTTGGAGGCTGACCTGGAACTAGCTCTTGTAGACCAGGCTGGTCTTGAACTGACAGGGATCCACCTACCTCCACCTCCTGAGTGCTGGGATTAAAGGCATGTGCCACCATTGCTTGGCGATTTTTAAATGTTTTCATGGGATGAATAATTATAATTTTCATAAAACTTATCAAGATTGTTTTTAATTACCATTCTTGAAAACTAACTCAAAACTGTTCTTATTTTCAGGTACTCTTAACCCTAAGATTTAAAAAGTGACTGTGCAATTCTTGGTTGCTTGATTCACATATGTTACACTTGAGCAAATGCCAAAAAGACAGGTCTGTAGGAATCGTTCCCTACTGCTTCTGGAATTCAAGTTTTTCTACCCAAACTAGCCCAAAATCTAGCCAGTCACTGCTACGTCACACAATAAAAACAAAATCAAGAGGTAGCTTTTGTTTTTATGACTTTAAATATATTTTTCTGATAAAAATGATAACAAAAGCCAGTCAACAACATAATCCTGATAATGTAGTTGGTTGAACACCAAATAATGAGTTCTACTCGTAGTTTAATAAACGGGTGTTACTTTAAGACAAAAACATCCATTCAGTTCTGGTGTGTCTGAAGTCTTGAACTGTAGGCTACACAGTTTAAACCAGGAGTGCCAACAATGTAAATACTTATCTTCAAAGTGACTAAATTGTTCAAACAAATAAGAATGTCTCTGACCACTTGGATTTTAGATATTACTGGAACAGTCATAAGAGAAATGTTGTTCTAAATTATATTGCAGCTCAGTATAATAACACGGGTATAGAATTGAAAAAATATCATATAGAATCATGGAAAGCATAATTCACTTACTATCTGTTAAAAAGCAAGAAATTATATAAAGAGATTTGTGGGAGAAGGTACTGTGAGAGGAAATTGGTGGTGCTGGATCAGAAGAGGAACAATATGGATGAGCATCTTGGCGGTACTCACGGTTGTCCATAGAATGAAGAAGCAGAAGGCAGGAAGGCAAGAAGAACTGAAAGGAGACACTGCAGAGCCTTTCTGCCCTTCTTCATGGTGTAGGAAGAAAGGAAAAGAATACGGAGCCTCTGGTGTCCTCTTCCCTGATACTGTCTCCAGATACTCACTGATACACAGAGGTTTATTTATGGGTGCCCTGTGTAATCAGGGAGCTCCACCCTAGGTGTCCAAACAGACAAGAAGAATTTTCCAAGATTTTTTTTTTTGTTAGTGTCACTGTATTCAGTGGTGGCCTCAGTACAACTCAAACAAATTACAACAGTATCAGGAAAGGTGCCAGGGTAGTTGTGGATGGTGTTGGTAAAAGGTCAAGGTAATAGAATTTACTTAGCTTGAATCAGAGCAGACCTTAGTACCACTGACCAGTAAATCTCTGCATCAGGTGGTTGTGCTATGACATTTTCTATCTCACTGCTTCTAGTCAGCTGGAATCTAAGGATATAACACCTCAGTTTCTCTTTCCTCATTTGAGAGTCAGTACAGCAGTCCAGGTTAGAGATTTTCAGTTCTTCTGTCTCTGGTCATTCAAGTATCTACTTTTATGGGTCCTATGTGTAAAGAGGGGATTGTGGAAACTGGATGCTACAAGTCACTATGTCTAACTCTTCATTTTATTAGAGGTTCACAACCTCATCTAGAGGTACAGTTGAGAAGTCTTAACTCCACAGTCTACAGAGAAGCCAGATATAGTCTGTGCAACTAAATGTGGTGGCTTTGAATGCTAAGGTGATCAGCCTTTGGGATATAACTCAGTTCCTTTGGATTGGCATTAAGGTGTGAGTTGGGTTACACAGTAGCATTTCCCTTCTAGATCCTGGGGCTGTTTGATTTTGCAAAGAGCTTATGACAGTGGCATGAGAGGAAGGTCTAGCATAAGCTAAGTCAACTTTAATCTTGGGCACTAAGTAAAATCAGAGAGCATGCTAATAGGGGATGTAGGGTTAGCATGTAAAGGCTGAAAGAGAAATAAATCTTCTGTATGTCATTGATTGACATATGAACTTGAATTAGTCATCAAAAGGAAGCCCCATCAACTCCTGAACTCGTCCTTTCACTCAAAACCCCACTGAAACAATAATTACACTTTTCAGTCTTCACTGCCTGCTCTTTATTTTTGGGTATTACAATTAATGGACTTCATTCATGTAAGATGATGCTACTAGCAATGCACACAAAACCATTAACAGGTGCTGACAATGCTGGATAACATCAGACAGCCAGGCACATCTTAGACAGTGCATAACCCAGACTCAGAATTCACAGATGTGTTTGTGTTAGAGAATAGGCATGCTACAATGATTTATTTGAGCTTTTCCAGTCAGAGGAAAAAACGGGGTACAGATTTTCAAATCTTTAAAAAGCCCATGAGAAGGCCTGGAGACCAGAAGAGCATTGGCACATCTCAAGTGGGAGTCTTTCATTGGAATAACGATGCTGAATACAGCTAAGCTTAACCATGTGAGGCCTATGAAAGGAACTTGGAGTAAGAACTAAAATGGCTTAAATAATGAAAGGATAGGAATCTTTTGTGTTTAGCAGGATAGCTTATGTGATTGTATGAGAGGATGACTAGAAGTCTAGATGCCCCACTTGATGGCTGGAATAGTTACCTAGATATCCTGTGATGGTGTTCCACACTGAGAGACTGGGAGCTAGGCAGACACCTTGGCAGGCTGACAGATAGGGAGATGGGTTTTGGCTAGGTAATAACGGTGGCAAACCTCCAAGATGACTGGCATCTTCCTTACTGTGGTGGTTGGATGAGAATAGACCCCACAGGCTCGTATGTTCGAGTGTTTAGTCACAAAGGAGTAAAACGGTTTGAAAAGATTAGAAAGTGTGGCCTTGTTGGGGGGGGGGGAATGGGCCC